CAGGATGGGAATCTGGAAAGAAGAAACAATCTTTCTTGGCTTCACATTTTTAAAAATACAGGCTAATGTGACTTAGTAAATTTACTTTTCCTGTAAAAAAGCATTTTGGTTCCTGTGTTACACTCTCAGACTCAACCTTTTTTCTCCAAAATATTGTTTTAGCATGACATATATAATACATTTATGCCCCATTTCTTGTTCTTCATATTTTGAGGTCTGTCATACTTGGCCAATTTTGCTTTTCTCCTTTCAAGATGCTTTTAAAAATAAGATTCTGTATAAAGCATACAGCAACAGTGTCTTAGTATTAATGCATTATTAGATTTTTTAGACCCTCATGTGATACATGTATATATACATAATTGCATATAAATAAGCACACATTTTATTATATATAGGTGAGTTTTGTAAAGATACTTTACATGAAAAGTTTATCAAAAATTCTGAAAACATACTATTTTTAAAAGACACCTAAAAACTCACAGATGTTTTCATGGCCTTTATTTTGTTCTCCTTATAAATTTAATAAATATTCATTATAGAAAATTGGAAATATAAATTAACTCACTCATAAGCCTAGCCGTATATATCACATTAACCATTTTGGTGGCTTTTTTCTTTTTTCTTTTTCCATGTGTGCCTGTCTCATTGGGAACCTGCTACAAATGCAGTTTCGGATTCTATTTTTTTGATTTCATTAAATGTTCTTGGGAAGACATGATTTTTAAAACTGCATGAAAGTCCAGCTCAGGACTCTGGTATAATTTATGTAACTATTTCTGAAACACGTGGTTTTGTTTTGTCTTGTTTTGTTTTGTTTTGTTTTGTTTTCAAGGAACATTAAGTTTTGGAAGATTTATGTAGAAGAATTTTTTCTTTTCTTTTTTATTTTTTTTACATGTAGAAGAATTTTAATAATGCTTGGAGTTCAAATAAAATATGGTTTCGACCTTTAATTCCTGGAGTTGACCCGATTTCTGTTCATTGTGTTCTGAAAGATACAACCTATGCCTCATTTTATACCTTATTAGATACTACCATGAACAAGATGTTAAAACCTGGCATTCTTGCATTTAAGAAAATAGCAGAGTGATTGCTAACATAGCTTTGTCTAAATGATTCTGTTAGGTCTGAGGATTTTTCTAAAGGTTTTCGAGTTGTGTTTCATATGATCAGCTAATGAATTCAGCACAACTTCCCCAACCCCAACCTTTTTCTCCTGTTTAGCATTTTCCACTTTTTTACTCTGTGATGTACAAGCCCTCCCTGGTTAATTATGTATATATTTAGCTACTGCATGTGTTGGGCTTATTATTGTCATCTAATTAGATGTAACTTGAACTGCTTGCTTCTAGAAAAATCATTAAAAATTCTTTCCTAATGACCTAGAGATGACAAAATGTCTGTAAAGTGTGAAGAAGCAGACAAGCACAGGAACATCGCTCTTAAAGAGTGTTAATCCAGATGCTGCAATCATCTAATTAAACAATATTTTGCTGTCATTAACATTTTCACCAAGGAATTGCAGTTATAATTTCTTTGTCAGCTGTCTCTAGATCACTTTACCTTCAAAACTAAAGTGCCATATAAAAACATTAAATTGGATGGTTTAATTAAAAAGTTTTTTTCTTTAAATGAAGAAACATATCCAGTGTTTCTGAGATCTCATTTACTGTGCTTCACTTTTATTGTTTGAGTAGATTAGTGTCATAGGCTTGCAATATTTAATATTCATCTTCTAAGATAAAACCTTATGAGCATAGTTAGTAAAAAAAAAAAAATCAGCACTTACCACTGTTGGAAAAAAAAGAACCCTACCAATTACAGCATAAGGTTATTTACTAAATTTCAATTATCCTTAAAAAAGAAAAAAACCCAAAATATAAAAAACAAAAAAACAGAACAGTTGATAAGTAGGTTCCTCCAAGTGCCAGAACCTAATAGGTATTACTTTGGAAACATTTCATTTTTTTTTTAATTTAGTAAAGTCTTTTTGTTTGTTTGTTTGTTTCACTAAGGTGTTTAGTAAAATAATTAAGTAACATGCTAATTCATGAATGCAGAATCCCAAAGTACCATTTAATTATTCTTTTTCATCCATGTGATTTTTAAATACATTGTACATTTTTCATTTAAATAAAAAATATATGTTGACTATCCATATTGCAAGGCTTTTATGTGAAAATTTTTATTTAAAAAGGTTTGACTATAACTGTATAAGTACATTTATTTATAAAATTTTTTTGTATTTATTAGAATTTAAATGGTGCTATCAGCCTTTGTAATTTAAATATTGCTAAATTTTCCTAAGAATTTATTTTGAAATAACCTTCCAAAGATCATTAAAAGTGAATTACAAAACATGTTGCAGAGAGCAATTTCATAAACTGTGAGTGTTGGCATCCATCAATGTTGTGTGTGTATTTTAAAGATAATGCTTGCTTTCTTTGTTCTTTTTCCAGAAATACTATTCTATCATTTCCTATATTAGAAAGTCACTTTTATTAAAACGCTGGTATCTTCAAATATGGTCTCTATTTTTATGCTGTTTGCATTTATATGATAACATTTAAGTATTGAGTCAAGAGAAATTGGCTTTTTATTTATTTTATTTTGAGAGGTTTTTTTTTCCCCTTAGTGTATATGGTATAAAACTTTATCAGAAAATTTAAAAACAATTACGATATCTAATTTTCAACTAATTCATTTTTATGAATAATATAAATGTATGTTACATAAATAATAGCAACATTATTCTATGAAAATACACTCACTTAGTGGAAGACCTACTTTTCATTGAAACCGACAGATTTTTAAGTAGAATGGTAACCCAGAAAACGACAGAGCCTTAAATATGCCATGGGCCCAGTTAGAATCCCAGAAATAGCTCTGCTTAACCGATCTAGACTCTCTATATTCCATGTGTAGGAAAAAATATGGATAGTAATCAGGTGTCCTAGGCTAACATATACATGAGCTGTCAATAATACATTTAAAATTTTATACTTTTATACTTTGAACTTTGCAGTGATACTGGTTTGGCAGAAAATGTTCATGCACAGGACTTTAATAAAGGTTCCAAATTCTTATTTATTCTCATCAGTATTATTCTTCCCAGTAGACTTACAAACATAAAACAGGTGCATTCATTGGCCGAGCTGTCTAGCTGCACTTTTTCCTCATGGTTCACCATGTCACTCTTTCTCGTATGTAGTGCATTGCCTTTGCGTGGTCCTCATCCACCAAGAGACCATCCTGCAACTTTCCTTTTTCACTTGGCTGTTTGTTCACCTTTTAAAATTTGGTTCATTTTATGCCATTTTTATCATATGTGTATTCATTCCTTCCACAGACATTTATTGGCAAACAGTGTGTTTGAGATTAAAAATGAAACACAACCCTAGACTCTACATTCGTGAGTGTGCAGAGTAATGGGGAAGCAGACAAGTAAACGTGCATTAGGGGCAACTTACATCTGTGTGAGTGCTATGGTGGGGGAAGGTAGGGGAGCCCGAACCTGCCCCTCACCTCATTCCAGGGAAGTGCTGTCTACAGGTCACCTACGTCTGTAATACGTACCGACATCAATGCACACACCTAAAACAATATGTCATTTTTGTTGTAAAATATAGATTCACAGGTAAAATAGTCACCCAGTAAAATGTGTATGAAATGAATGAATTAGTTTGATCTGATGCTTGCAATAGCACATTTAGTTCTCCCTTGGATTATAGTTCGTTTTTTTTTTTCTATTTCACAATCACAATTACCAATTGCTGCAGGAAGTAGGTATCATTTAATGACAATTCTTGATGACAAACAAGATAACGTATGCATATCTATGTTACCGTCGTGCTATATGTGGTGTGTGCACTAAAGCATTCTGGATGAAATCCATACAAATGGATATAAATTATATTAAATCCATGTAAACCATCACCAAGTACTGGTGAAATCACTCTTTTGTATGAATTTGAATGGAAGTTTAGAAAGTTGCCCATGATCAGATTATGACATATTTTTACCTAAAAAAAAAAAAAAAACTTGTCCAACAAAAGTTTTCTTTGGCCCCTGTTTCTTTAATAGCAATTCTCTTAATTCCCTCTGCTCACATGTTATTTCAGTACCAGTTTATGAGGGCAAGCCAATGCTGTGCTTTCCCTAAACTTTCCACCTTCCCGCTGTGCTTCAGTGAAACTCGTAAGTCATTCTAGGAAAAAATAAACGGCAAACCCAACCAAAGGTCCAGCAGTTGTCCCCTAAAGTGAAATAACATAATCCATAATGTGTGGGACATCTGCCTCTGAACTTTTTCATTCTGGCTTCAGAGTACTCCCATGAGCCCTTCTCAAGTGATCCTTAGAACCCTTGGTATAAGCTCAATGTAGCATTCTGTACACTGGCAATATAATTTCTAGGTATATAGTCATTGGAGTAGAATACCGTCACATAACCTGCAAATGTACAGGTCGGCAGGAGGACCTCATCCATGATCACTTTTAGGAATCTTCACCAGCAGGGAGGGAGGGCTCTGCTCTTCAGGCCGGTCATATCGTCATCACAGCTGGCAGCGAAGCAATGGAGAAGGGAGGCGCCCGTGTGGCGGCGGGTTGTAGTGGGTCAAGACTAGGAGTGGGTCAAATCACTTCTGCTCATGTTCTATAGATTCAAACCTCTGAGTGCCATGCCCACAGCTGCCTGTGAGGAAGGTTGAGAAATGTGGTCTAGCCCAAGAAGATAAATCAATGACGATCAACAGCTAACAGTCTCTCCCACAAGCTTCTATTATGAAAAGTCATTCTAGTTACTCGTTTCTTAATTATTATTGAGTGAATTCACTTGAAACACATTGTTGCTAGAGTGCTTTTTATTAAACAAAGACGCAGTTCAATAAACAAGTTACTGTTTTCTGAAATCCAATAGTTTCCTTATATAAGAACAGAAACGATTTCGTAAGCAATTCGTGCGTACAGATTTTCATTTCTCTTTTTCTTTGCTAGGACGAACATATAATGACCTGAACCAATATCCTGTGTTTCCATGGGTATTAACAAACTACGAATCAGAAGAATTGGACTTGACTCTCCCAGGAAACTTCAGGGATCTATCAAAGGTAACTGTTAATTTTCTTCATAAGACTTTATTCTAAAAGCGTTCCTACCAGGTATATTTGTAAGAAGTAAACCTGCATCTTCTTTTGTGGTCTGTGACTAAAGCACATCAATTCTTAGCATAGGAACTAAGCTGTAAGAGGATAAATTAGTACTAGCATAGACAGAATGAAATGCATACTTGAGAAAAAGCAGATGTAAGGAGAGGTTGCTCACATATCCTTGGTTTCAAAGGTCAAGGTAAAAAAAAAACCTGAAATTAGAACAAAATATTATGGTAAATTATTTCTATGATTTATTTCTTAGATGATAAGACATATCATCTTGACCATCTGCACACACACACGCTATGTAGGGAAACATAATAGTGAAAAAAAGTAGGGCACAGTAATTTATCAAGGATCTGTTAAGATACAAGAGAGAAGATTTGGCCCCAAAAAATGGCAAGAAAAAATACATAATGGTGGATAAGAATAAAAAAGCAAATTTTCGGTTAGTTTACCTCATTTATCCAGAGAAAACTTCAGTGGGTTACTAAATTATTTGAAGTGCAGTGAAAAATTAGGAACTAAGCCCCAAAATGCTTCTCTGGAGCCTAAGCTGATGTCAGAGCCAGACCCTAAAGTTTACACATACACTTCAGCCATTTTAAGCCTCAGCTCATTCACTCTGTATTTCGCTCTCTTTTCTATCATACTTTTTTTTTTTTTTTGAGAGAGAGAGAGAGAAAGAGAGCAGAGCATGAACAAGCATACCAGCAGGGGAGGGGCAAAGAGAGAAGGAGAGAGAGAATCTTAAGCAGCCTCCAGGACCAGCACAGAGCTGACGTGGGGCCTGATCTCAGGACCGTGAGGTCACAACCTGAACCGAAATCAAGTGTTGGATGCTGAACCGACTGAGCTACCCAGGCGCCCCTCTACCGTTCTTGGTTGTCCGCTTTAGCATCCCGCAGCAGGACGCACACGTGTGTGCGTTTGGTTTGGGTGCAGGGAGGGCTGAGGGGCTCAGCAAGAGATGCATAAGCCCTGCAAGTCAGGGAAACATGCATTGTGGCCAATTTGAGAGTGATCCCACAGATAGTTTTTAACTCAGCACACCTTCTCTTGCCTCCTTTCTTACTTTTGGAAACTAGACCTACGAGGTTGAAGTTCTGTATTACATGGCTTACTAGCTGTGTGACCTGATGTCACTTTCTCTTAGCCTTGGTTTCCACATTTGTAATGCGAGAATAGTACCATCCTAAGCCACACGGTTGCTAAGATCAAATGACACATGCATTTAAAGAATGTGACACTGGTACTTGGCACATTGAAGCACTTCGTGACTATTAGCTATTATTATCATACATGCAATATTTCTTAGCCTGTTTTTGAAGCCAGTGTACAAATATCTGCACATTCTTATCTGTCGTTCACTCTCTAGTTCTTTTATGTTTTGTGTGACCTCCTTATCGAATCTCTGTTGCTACCTCATTGCTAATTTTAGTTATGATGTTACAGGTTTGAAAGGGACCTGGAGAGATGAGTTAGCCAACATCTTACTGAGAATCACACATCTGGGAGAAAACAAAATGCTAGCAATTTAATTCTAATACGGTCTCAAATATAGTAATTTTTCCAGTCCAAATGAACTGAACAAAAATCTTGCATCATTTACCATGGACGAGTAATTATTCAGGCCCAGGTAGATAGAAACAGTGTACTTCATGGGGCCTGCCCTCCCGGAGCAAATATAGTTATAAAGTATCTGAATCATGAAACCATTCTCTGCAAAACTGAATGATAAGGTATGATATTTTACAGAGAACTACATGAGAGGCAATAGGCAGTAGTTAGGAAAGGGAACCCCGGAGCTAGACTGCCTGGGTTCACATCCTAATTCTGCCAACTTACTGGCTTCAGGGTCTTAGACAAGGTTAATTTTCATTTTGCCTCAGTTTCTTCACCTGTAAAATAGGGGCAATAATAATAGATGTGTTATGAGGATTTGATGAGTTAGTAAGTGTAAAGAACTTAGGAGAGTTCTTGGCATTTCAACATTAGCTAACACCGTATGTCTAAAGATAATGTAGTAAATCATTGATAGAGGTCATATACTTCAGATATTGATGATAAATAGAGATGCTATTACATTCATGTTAGCATTAGAATGTGTGAAGATATGCATTTTTTGACATGACTTGCCAAGATTGTGGTGTAATCTTTGGGTGTGAAACAAAACCAAACTAACTCATCAGTGTGAGGATGAAAACTGTCAAAATGGTTCTTTTACACCATCTTGTCTGCATATGTTTTATTTAGCATGACTCAAGTGGCTGTTGTATGCTAGTCAGTATAAAATACACGTACAATTAAATTTATACTAGATTGTCAAGTAGTATGATACGCAGTATTAAAACCTCAAAAGCTGACTACCACTCTGGCTATTTTAGATTTTTTTTTAAGATTATTTTAAAAACAGGGCAAGAGGTTCTTTTGCTTTGAAATTAACTGGACTATTATGGCAGTAGGAAGCTTCTCAGTTAAGTTCCCTTTACTTCCTCCATTTATGTATTCATTTTTCAGTCAACAAATGTTTATCGTACCCCTGCTATATGTCAAGCACAGTACTGCATGAAAGAGTGTACAGGAGTTAATAAAACAGACTTAGTCTCAGCGCTTTTTGGAAAGAGTCCAGTCCAGAGCTGAGATGAAAACTCAGGTAGTTACCAGAAATCTGAGGCCAGCATTTCTGACAATAGGTTGAGTGGGGACTGGACCAAATTGGAGAGTTCATGCTTAACTACTTGAAGACATTGGACTCAAATGTTCTTAAAACACTATCCCAACCAAAGAAAATATAGCCTTCATTATAATTAATATGGATTAGAGATGGCATATGGTAAAATATTTGCAAGTCATTATAGATTTTTAATTTGCTCCTATAAAAAAGAGATAAATGAGGAGATCACTGTTTCTAAAGTAACTAGAATATGTAAACATTCTTCAGGTTTTTAGTGCTGATTCATTTAGCGTTCCTTTCGGCAGAGCATTTCCCTCTGTAACTCACGCGTGCTCTCCTGATTGTATGTAATGTTAAATAAGTAGAAGAGGTAAACAAACAAGGTGACGTGAATACTAACTATACGTTCGCAAGCATGGAGTCCTTCGTGCTGCGAACATTTGAACCTATGAGCTCTTAAAAGATAGATAGCTTTTTTTTCTGCTATGTTCCATGCTTTAGTAATTTGTTCTTTATATTCTGTCAGACAAACATGATAGGAAAATGTTAGCAAATTAAAGACTCCTGATGTGTTAATAAATTGCTCTTGCATTGTTCCCATGCTTCATTGAATTTCTTAATAGGAACTTCTTACAAATGGACTAGAAACCCAAAACTATCCTGTATAAAAATCATTAATAAACAAGATTTTAATGTATGAAAATATTTTATATACCTAATAGGAAAGTGACATTTGAAGTATAATATTATAATTGGAAGGACAAACTACTAGTAGTGAAATATAATTGTAATGAGATGACCATTAAGAAGGACATGAAAGTCTTATTGGTATAATCAATACTACAAATGAAATATTTAATACAGAATTTGTTAATCTTCAAAAGCTCAAGGAAGAATTGGAATATCTGAATGATATTATTAACCAGGAACCTTCTAAAAGGTCTCTAAAAGCAAAAGAAGTGTTCCTAAACAAAGATTGGGACCCGTGGAATAATTTCTAGCAGTGAATAATTCTACAATTGGTTTCAGTAAGCACCTTTTTTTTAAAATTTTTTTTTAATATTTATTTATTTTTGAGAGAGAGAGGGAGACAGCACGAGAGACAGGGGCG